ACCGCATGGGATGGGTCAAAGGCCGCTGGAAAGCGACGGAGCGCGATGGTTCCAAGGCGGACGAGGAGCTAGCGGTGCCTAAGAGCGAAAGCTTTAGAACCGATGACTATAAAAAAGCAGTCAAAACACTAGCGTATCAGGAATTCCGAGGACTCTCGAAGTCTACGATCAATGCCGTTCTCGCCGAGTCAAACTATTCTTACCTCGAGGCACGCCGAGCCCTCGTCGACCTATCTTCCAAGTCGTGGCGCTACGCGATCGCATCATTTTTCTCTCGACGGAAAGCACTGGCCGAAACCGAACTCAAGACACATCCCCTCGTCATATGGCGGTCTACAGGCCGCGGATCGATTGAGCCCTGCCTGAAACCGACAGGGAGCGCCGAGTTGGACCGAGAACTCTACACACAGCTCATCGCACCCATCATGGCACGCGAGAATGCCGAACGCGAACTAAACGATCACAAGTACGCTGTCGCTCTCAACAGCACCGAGGCGGAAGATGCCCAAATCACTCTCGAATGTGCGTGCTGTTTCGCCGACTACGCATTCGAGGAATTTACTTCCTGCACCACCGAAGGACACTTGATCTGCTTCCGATGTGTCCAGCATTCCATCTCGGAAGCCGTCTTCGGGCAAGGGTGGCAGCGGAGCATCGACAAGAACACCGGCGCCATGATATGTCCAGCGATGGACTCGGAGTGCCAAGGCCGTATCTCGCAGGACAATATGCTCCGAGCGATGATGGAACAAACCAAAGGCGCCGAGATAATGCACAAGCTCGAGCAACGTCTGGCCGAGCACAGCCTCATAGCTAGCAATGTGCCTCTCATATGCTGCCCGTTTTGCTCGTACGCCGAAATCGACGATGTCTACGAGCTGGAAGGTGGATCTCAGCGACAAGCAGCCAAGGTTCAACCTTGGTGGTACAAGAAGCTCTTCATTCCCATCCTTATCATTACAGCACCTTTCCCCTTGATAGCCGTGTCGGCTGCGATACTCATCTCGTCGATGTTTAACTTGGCACAGCTGCTTGACGATTACCTGGGGCCGCGGTATCGGGCGGCGCAGGCGCGCTTCAGGCGCAGACGTCGTGGTCTTCGGTTCCGTTGCGCGAATCCCGAGTGCCGTCGCGCATCGTGTCTCAGCTGCAGAAAAGAATGGGTTGACATCCACATCTGCAACGAGTCGGCCCTCGTGGCGCTGCGCACCCAGGTCGAGCAGGCCATGAGCCTCGCCATCAAGCGGGTCTGTCCTAAGTGCAACACGTCGTTCGTGAAGAATGCGGGCTGCAACAAGTTGACGTGCCCGTGCGGCTACAAGATGTGCTATGTCTGTCGCAAGGATATCGGGGCCACTGACGGCCCCGATGCCGGTTATCGACATTTTTGCGACCACTTCCGGCCCGAGGGTGACGGAACGCCGTGCAGCAAGTGCAACAAGTGCAACCTTTGGGAGACAGAGGACACGGATGCGGTGCTCAAGAAGGCCAAGGAGGAAGCCGAGAAGAAGTGGCTGGAGACGGAGGACCGGCAGCTGTCGGGCGCCGAGAAGACATACCTCGAGACCGGACTGGCGGTAAAACCAGAGATCATTGGCTTGGGGGGGCATCTGCGTCGTTGGAGGCTCCCGACTGGGGACGAATTCTTGGACTGGTTTGTAGAAGTTGTATATGCATTTTCACCCGGCAAGGTAGCATAGCATGGAGAGCATGGGATAGGGTAGGGGCATGGTTAGGTTTCTAGGATAGTCATTGTGGTTATGGCTGTATTCATTGGGATTAAGTCTTGACGACTTGTACGAGTATCCAAGTACTACAACTACTGTGTAGCGAAGCAAAATTCCAAGTTTCCAGAGAGACACCAAGACGGAGTCCTGGGCATTCAGGAGGCAGTGTTCACAGTGCAGTGTTCATAGTGGTTGCGCCTTTTCTGCACTGTTTGGCTTATGTCAGCTGGCGGGTTCCAAACTGCGACCGCCGACCGCAAGTGCAGCTGCGCGAGCTCTCCAAACTTCGCGACGCTAGCTTCCCCACGCGTCGAATTGGAATTTGTCGACGGCCACTTTACATCCCAACTCGCAGCGCTCCAACCAATTGCCAAGCCTGTCAACGCCAACCCATCACCGCTGCGATGTCGGGCCAAACGGGCAAATGGCGCGAGGAGCAGATCCTCATCATCTGCCCGGGCAGCCAAACCACCATGGCCCAGATTGGCTGCAGCGAGCTCACCCCGCCGGCGCGACGATTCCCCACGCGCATGTTCAAGGACCAAGATTCTGACGATTGGCGTCCGTACCACACGTACAAGCGCAAGAAGGCCGGAGCCAATGGCAATTCCGACGATGACTGGGAGTACGTCGAGGACGTCGACTCGACCGAGGGCGCCGTTTACCCCATCCGAGGTAAGTAACAACGCGGCGCGTCCCGTCTGCGCTGAGTTACTGACGTGCACCCCTCGCCCAGGTGGTCGCATTGTCAATATGGATGCTTTCCTCGCCTTCCTCGAACATGTCCACGGCTCGCTCACCACGACGTACCACAACACGCCCATAATCCTGATGGCTTCCCCCCAATGGACCCGACCAGACTGCGAGAACATTGCTCGCTACATCTTCGAGAAGACCAAGACGCCGGCACTGTGTCTGATCAACAGCGGCATCGCCACGCAGTACGGGCTTAGGTGGGCCAACCTTACTGTTGTCGATGTTGGCTTCGAAAAGGTCGATGTGACGTGTATATACGACAGTCGCGTCGTCTCGCACGTCGGTGTAGGCGCATGCTCGACGAACGAGATATTCGATATCAGTGGCGGCGAGGTATTCACGCGCAAGCTCATGTCGCTGCTGGAGAGCAGGGGATTTGACCATGAGATGGCCGAGCAACTTAAGAAGAGCAATATCTGCGAGGTCCTACCGTACACGCCCGATGCGCCTGAGCTTATGGACCTCCCGCTAGACACGGGGAGCGGACCGACAGCCGACGTGCCCAAGATTGTTGCGGACGATGACATCGGGGACGACAGCCGAATAGTAGACGACGAAGGTGTCCTGGATGTCGCCAACATTGTTGCCAGCGGTCAGACTCGCGAATTTTTGGCTAAGCAGGAGAAGCTCAAGGCTGAGAAGGCGAAGCCTGGAAGAAAGGGCAAGGATAAAGATAACGCCGCCGATGCTGCCGCCAAAGCCGCTAGGTTACCGAACTCGAAGAGAAGCCGCAACATGTTTCATTACGAGGAGCTGGTCACAGAGGAGGTGCCGGTTGCGCCGCCACCGCAGCAGAATGGTACTACCACTGAGGTTGAGATGAGCGACGCCGCAGCATCATCGGCCGCTCCAGCCGAGACGGCAGATGCCGCTGCTGATGGGGAAAAGCCTCAGACGGAGCCAGAAAAGGCGCCTGCTCCGACTGAAGGAGGACTTGAAGCAGTTCCGTCGGGGGTACAGGAGCCAGAGACGAACGGGGCTTCCGGGTCTACACAACTTACGGAGAGAGTCACGAAGCGGGTGCGGCGCGATATCGAGATTGGACTTGAACGGTTCTTGTTTGCGGACCGTGTCGAAGTCGACCGCATCGTCACGGCCATTTACCGAGCGATACAAGGCATTGGCGATATGTACATGCGGCCGTCGTGCTGGGAAAACATTGTCTTTGTCGGGAACGGGTCGCGCATTCGTGGGCTCAAGGAAAACATTATGCAAACTCTGCAGGCACGACATTTGGTCTCTCCCAGTTCGGCTACCATGTTTACCTCGGAACTGCCATCGAACATAGGTACTCCTTCCGGCACGGGCTCGCAAACCCCGACGGGTTCTTTTACCGGCGCGCCACACCAGCTTCCGACGGCGAGCAGCGTCAACCCGTTGCTCCAGGCGGCGACGACGGCAAACCTGGGAGTTCCGGGCGGACTGGGCGGGCCACCGGGGGGGTCTAACGTTGCGACGTCCAATGCGGGCGATGCACCGGGCGTGAGCCATCACTTCCACAGCCAGACGCCGACGAGCATCAAGCAGGCGGCGATGCCGACGTATCTGAGCGAGTGGTCGAAGAACGGGTTCGAGGAGGCCATGTTTCTTGGTGCGCAGGTGGCGGCGCGGCTGGCGTTTTGTATCCACAACTTGGATGCGCAGGGATTGGAGGCGCAGCGGCTGATGAGTCTGAGCCGGGTTGACTACAAGTGAGTTTTTTGTGTTTTGAAGATGAGGAAATAATTGCTGATCTTGGATGATAGTGAGCTTGGACCAAAGGGGATCCGGACGCATTCCATGCTGGGGTGATTTCCCGGGAACGGTGTTTGGAGTTTGGGTGGAAAATGGCTGGTTGGCTGGCTGGTTGGTTGGCTGGTTGGCGTGGGATGGCTTGATTATGGTTAGCAGTGGCGGTGGTGGTGATGTGAATAGGATATTGCGTATCCGTGGTGTGTGCGTGCGGGTTTTTCACATTGGTTATGCTGGCGCTGATGCTATGCTCATGGTGAGATATCCAACGTGCTACACCCAAACACCATCATCTAAGACTATGGCATTGCCACGATGAACATTGCCAGTACGATCATGTTCATATCCATATCCATGTCCATGTCCATACCACTGCCACCCCCGTCCATCCATCCCACATACAACACCATCACCTTACAACCACATCTACATTTCACATAATTACATTTACATGAAACCTACCTATATACATATGTACATGGATCCCCCTCGTCCATCCATCCCACGCACAACACCATCACCTTATCCACACATCCATCCGTACATTTCCCGCGATTACATCCACAGGAAACCCACCCATACACATACATTTATTACAATAAATCCACATATCTACAAACATACAAACCTACTACACAAACAAACCCACCACACAAATCCACATATCCACAAACACACAAACAAATCCACCACACAAACCCACTACACAAACAAACCCACCACAGAAATCCACCACACAGATAATATACTACAATAAAATACAAGATATCAACAAAACAAAAAAAAGGCAACGTGGCCGAGCGGTCTAAGGCGCCACGTTAAGGTTCATCCTTAATACCTCCCTATTGTTGAATATCTATTAAATGATAGTGGTTTTCTCATCCGTGGTCCGAAAGGGCGTGAGTTCGAATCTCACCGTTGTCAAGTAGTCTGTTTTATTTTTTGTTCTTTTATTATTATTTTTTGGTTGTGTGGGTGTGTGTGGGTGTGTGTGTGTGTGTGTGTGTGTGTGTGTGTGTGTGTGTGTGTGTGTTGTTTTGTCATGGGGTGTTTTGTGATGGGTCTTTGGGTTGTTTGGTGGATGGTGTCGTTGATAGGCAGGGAGTATCTTTCTGGTGTTTATCTTTTGTGAAGAGGTTGTTGAGAGGGAGGATGTCTGCTGGCGATATTTATGTTTCGTGTTCTTGGGGGAGAATTGGTGTTTATTCAAGAGCCCGGCTGCGCAGGAAAAAGGTTGGCTTGTCCCCCCCTTTTTTTTCCCTTTCTTCTTGTGCTGCTTGCTGGCTACGGGGGTCTTTCTCAATACTATATACTATATAACTATATACATGTTTTGTGTCTTTATGATAGCCAAGAAATACCGGTAAAGCGGGTTGAGACTCGTGGCCTTTCACAAACTTCTGATAGTCGCGCCTAGTCAGAGTCTCTCAACTACGTATCTGGGCACCCAGCAGCCAGTATCAAAACCAGCGGCGGGCTAAGTATTACCTGACCTGCCGAAATCAACGCAAAGTTGGCGTCAGAAAGAGATTTTTTGGATGGAAAGTGAACAAGATTAAACCGTACTTGCTAAACTAGGTAATACCCTATACCTTCTTCTGTTACACGACCCAAGGGTTCTTCAGTGGAGGGTTGTATCTCGGACAAACTTCCCCGTTCTGAATCCCGAGTCCCCGATGAATGCGAGCCGCCGCAACCAACCCGCTACGAGTAATAACCCAGCAAACAGGCCAACTCGAGCGAGCCTCGACCATCCAACCAGAACACCACACTTTTTCAGGGAGGTCACACCGGGAGTGCATCAAGCAAACAATGCAAGACGGTTGATTTGTACAGGCCGACCGCCATGCATAGCGCATGCACGAGGCCCGGCAGAGTTTATCTGCCAAAATATATACACCAAATAATCCAGCTGGTGGTGGCATCCACCAAGCACGGCGGCAGCCTCGCGGCGTAGCAACACCCTCCAAAAATCACCCCAGGACCAATCCCAACAGCCCGCCCCAGGCAAAGGCCGTCCCAATCGTCAAAAAGCTCGACGTCGAAAGCAGCGACATGCCGCTGATCCCATGCCCCGACGTGCACCCCCCCGCGATTCGCGACCCCAGAATCATCAGAAACCCACCCACGCCCGCCGCCAGCGGCGAGACGGCCACAGACGTGACCTGCCCCAGAGCGGGGTACACCCTCGACACGACAAAGGCGCCGGCCACCATGCCAGCACAATAAACGGTGGCGGCGTAGCGCTGGGGAAATGTACCCTTGAGCACGCCCCAGAACCAGTCGCCCACCTCCTCGTATGACGTCGACGTGCCCATGAGGCTGCGCCGCAGCACGATGGAGAGCAGTTGTGCCGCGGCGATGAATAACCCGCCGAGGACGGGCGGGATCTTGGCTTCGGGCCCGAGGCTGGTGAGGGAGTAGGCGGCTACCACGGCCGTGGCGCAGACGGCTTCAAAGGCGAGGAGGAGGGTTGAGTGTCGCACGCCGAGGGCGTCGTAGGCCGCGGGCTTAGGGGAGGAAGTCTTCTCGCACTGTATCACGCGCTTGCCGATGGCTGACCAGACGATGCCGGCTATCGTGGCGCCCTCGAAGGCGTAGAAGCCCGAGCGCACGCCGACGCCGATTTGGGCGAGGACGGTACCCGGGCAGGCACCGGCGAGGAGCATGCCGGTGCCGAGGAGCATGCCGCCGATGATGTTGCCGTCGTAGGGGGCGAAGAGGCCGAGTGAGGAAAAGTTGCGGGGGTTTATCCTTATGTAGCCCAGTTTCTGGGCGGCTGTGACGATGGCTCTGTGTGGTGTTAGTCTGGATGAGGGACAGAAGGGGACAAAACATACGCGCTGCTGGCGGCTGCCGTGAGGAAGGTCTGGATCATGTGAAAGTTCTCAAACTTGAGCTGGGACAAGATGACCGAGGGCTGGTAGACGCCTGAGGCCGTGAGGGCCGCGCCAAAGGCGGCGCCGGCGACCAAGTTGTTCATCGGGGTTATGTGGAGTTGTTGTTGTTGTTGATGAAGGGGAAGATCAAGAATCAGAATAGATAACCGCCGATCTTTCCTTTTCTATGCTGCGCCGTTTCGAAGCCGCCAGGGAGGGGCCGCCATGGTGTTGGCCGTTGGACTATATACCTGCCTTACGACATGATGCCGAAAGCAAAGCGAGGGGCCCCCCATGACGAGACAGACACCGACAAAGAGTGGGCACTTGACGTCTTGGGCTGAACGGCGAGCACGTTCGGGCTTTTGCTGTGGCCGAGGCGGAGTCCAAGGGTGGCGCGTTGTGTGTGCCATTTCGTGTGGAATTGCGAAATTGCTCGAGAAGGTGATGTGCCGCCGTCCCAGATTCGTGGATTTGGCGTCTGCAAGCCATGAGATCGTTGTGGCGTTTTCCAAGGGGGGGTAAAGCCTGCAAGGCGGATCACACTGGAAATGAGCTACTTTTTCTTAACATTTTCCGCACCAAATCCTGCGGTGCTCAGATAGTGGATACAAGCAGGTCGCCGTCTCCCTTCCCACGGGCTTCGAGATGGAGATCTTCGCCATCCATTGCTTCTTTCACATTTTTATCAGATGAATATTGAATGATTTCCATAACATATTTGAAGTAATCCATCCCGCCGTTGTATTCGATTGTCCCGACCGCCGTTTCGGTATTCCATGAACCTGCATTCTGGATCGCATGAAGCACTGCGGAGTCGTGCAGGAGATCAGGAACCGATGCCACGAGCGCAGAATGTCGGCCGTCTTCTCGAAATCAATGGTCGGCGATTAAAAGTCACAAAGTATCCGCCGTGGGATGAATGGCCGGTGTCCTGGGTGTTGGTAGCGAAGAATTATCGAAGGCAAGGAAGGTTCGCCGATGACGACGGGTCCTGTTGCTACGTACCCCGGCGACCCACAGCTGCGTGGACCCCTGAGCCCAGGTCCAGCATTGACAAAACATCAAACATCGGGCTTCAATCCGATGTCAGCTTCGGCCAACATCCAACATCGCCATGTCGGAGGCATGCGCATTACAAAGCGGGCACCTCGACGGCTGACAAACTGTGTCGGAGTCAGATGTTGGACGCCGAGCTGAGGACTGACATCACACCACCATCCTCTTCGAGGACTTTTCGAGCTGTCCGGGGATGTTCATGGCGACTCCAGACTCGGCCATCTTGATGTTGGGTTCTGAAGAGAATGTCGCCGGCGACCCAACCCGGCGTCTTTGTCAGAGCTGTTTGCGGTCTCGGGTGGGCACCGTGACACAGTCCGGCGGCGTCCGCCCGGCGTCGCCATTCGCCAGAACCATCCAAGTGGCTGTTCGCCGACCGACGGCTGGATCATGATATCTCGAGGGAAACCGCGGGGTCTGTCTGGGGATCTGGATGTCAGCTTGGAGTCCCGGTATAAAAAAGTATCCAGATCTTGATCAGCTACAATAAAACATTCATCACCCTGACGCAACTCTTTGTCTTCGTCTGAATCCATCATCGCCACCATGCCCGCCGAGCCCATCGTCCATGCCTGCTTCGAGCCCAACACGGCCACCTGGCAGTACGTCGTAGCCGACCCCTCGACCGGGGCCGCCGTCATCATCGACTCGGTCCTCGACTTTGACCCGGCCCGAAACGCCATCTCGACCGGGACCGCCGACGGTTTGTTGGCGCTCGTCAACGAAAAGGGGTACACCGTCGAGCGCATCCTCGAGACCCACGCGCACGCAGACCACCTCACCGCCTCCCGCTACCTCCAACAACGACTAGCTGGGAGTGGAAAACGGCCGGATATCTGCATCGGCAAGCGCATCGTCGGCGTGCAGGAGCGTTTCGGCGCACGCTATGGCATCGATAAGTCCGAGTACGAGGGCGCCTTTGATCATCTCTTCGACGACGAAGAGGTCTTTGCCATTGGCGACCTACAGGCCAGAGCGATCCACCTCCCCGGACACACGCCCGACCATCTGGGCTACATGATCGGGGCCAACGTCTTCTGCGGCGACTCCCTCTTCAACACAGATGTCGGGTCCGCCCGCTGCGACTTTCCCGACGGCAACGCCCACGAGCTGTAAGTGTTTCTCCTCTCTCCTCGCTCAGCAAACACCTAGGTAGGTATCTAACCGAAGTGGTTCCAGGTACAACTCGGTATCCAAACTCTTCGCCCTCCCCGACGACACCAAGATCTGGACCGGTCACGATTACCCGCCCGCCGGCGACGGCGGCCGCGCCGAGCCGCTGGCTTTCACTACTGTCGCCGACCAGAAGCAGGCCAACAAGCACCTGCGGACCGGTACGACCGCGGAGGATTTCGTCAGGTGGCGCACGGAACGCGACGCCGGGCTGGGTGAGCCCAGGCTGCTGCATCAGGCTTTGCAGTTCAATATCCGTGCCGGACGGCTGCCGGCGGCGACCAAGGGGGGTGATCGGCTGTTGCACTTGCCGCTGCGGGTCCCGGCGAGTTTGTTGTAGGGTGTGAGCTGTTATGATGATATGATATTCGGGTACTTGGTTGTGTAGTATTAGGTGAGGTACCTTAGGTAGTGTACGTGGATTGGCGTATAATAGGGAAACACTCCTGTCTTTCTTTGGTCGACTTGGGCATCTTCGATTACCGTATTTGCATCCGTCGTTTTGTGCCCAACTCTCTTGGCTCTATACTCGTCCTCGGTCGCTTTTCAAGGCAAGAAAAAGCAATTTCGACCCTAGGGCTTGGGCGGCACTAGGACTCAATCCCAGGTCTTTGGCTAAGCACTGAAGAGAAAAGGAGGAAAACAACGGTGAAACGTCTGGACCGGGGAATGTAGAGAAACCGGCAACAGAAAACCTCATTCACACGCTCTTGGGTTTGAATCTCTATCTATCTCGCCAAATACCATTCTCAACAAACAACCCTTGAGGGCTCCAAGGTAGATAACATCCAAACCAGGCACGCATCCATTTTT